ACGCGTTTTTGTGCCATGTTTGATATTTTTGTTTGCATTGAAATATTTTATGGATATTTTTAATTTTTTATGTATGTGTTGTATAACCTTTGTAAAGCCTATTAAAAAAGTTATGGTGCCGTGAAAGGTTTGATAAGAAAATGACGACTGTACAAAGTAGCATCGTGAAATCTTCTCAATTTCCACGCCTTAAGCTTCTCTATTTTATATCTCAGCGAAAAAAATTGTTACGGCGTTCATATCTAGCTGAATGTTCCTCCCAAAGACATGGCTTTCATATATATTTTTAACAAAAATATCTAAAATATGACCCGGACCATCATTGCATGAATTGACGTGGAATCACCCACAGTGTCGTTTTCAACGCCTCTGCGGCCTTATTTTGCAAAATCCCTATTTCGGTTCAGCTAATGTGCTGTTTTGCTACCTTGAGCATATCTTTTATTTGCTTTGCAACATTAATTCACTACTGTACCACCAACTGTACATTCTCTTCAATTAACTTGAAATACGTGAGATATAGCATATTCCAACTAGAAAATTACAGGCAGCAATTTTTTGCGCTGCTGGATCCTTCTCTCCCTCTGCAAAGTCAAGGATTAAATTTTCCCCAGCACCTTCCTTTCCAGAGGAAGAGAATGCTACCACCAAAGCTGCTTTGTGTCCAACATTTTTTATGCCAATTTCTGATAATGTCACAGCACGGAGACTGAAAAGCATTCCTGACATCATCGCCAAGCTGTCCAAAGCAAGTGTCAATGTCAAAAGTGATACGGACAAGAAGGATAAAACTGATGGCAAAGTAACATCTCAAAAACAATTTTAGCATTGGACACTGCACAAACGTGTGTAGCCGTCAACAGCTACTCCAAAAGTGAAAAGAGGTTGCGGCTGAAAGCAAGATTAAATCTTAGCACCAAGCAACGATTCCTAACATTTGTTTTTGCCAGGTGAGAATACTTCAAGCCCATAACCACCTGCATGAAATAATATTTTTCTGTGCAGTAGGAAATACATCTATTAGCACTCCTAAGTCACTACCAATTACGATTTCCAGGATCAAGCTTATTTTACACGGCGTGCTGAAAAAAATATGTAATGTGGTTCTATAGCTGGATGCCACTAACTTGATGAGCAAGATTTTCTCCCAAACAAAATATTTCCATTGGCAACCCCATATGCCCAAAGCCTACCATAAAATAGTTTTCCGTTTCAGTAATTTTTTCTGCACTCCCTCTCGCAGTCTTCACTTATCCTCAATCAAATTCTGCAGGTCTGGGAAATAATCCTCATTGAAAGAGGGACGGGATTCCCCCTTCCTGATTTTAAACTGGGCTTTAGCACCACTTAAAACTGACAAACTGAATATATTTTGTCCAAAGTATCTCAAATACGTTTAGATAAAAAAACAACGACTACATACGACTGATACGCATACCATATAATAGACACATCCAACGTCGTGTTTGTTATAATTATGCATTTTTTCTTAATAGAGTTTCTCTCGCACCCTTGTCAAGCAGAAGGCTGGACCGTGACCTAGTTTTCTTGTACAACGTTGTGAAGGGGGGTTCGACACTGACTTGCTTTTGGGAAGTATTAATTTTCACGTTCCCTGCCGTTTTACTAGACATTTTACTATTTCTACGTTCATTCAATTTGTAGTGTGTTGCTAATGTCTCGTTTGCTGACTTCGTTCGAAAGAAGCGCGTTGTTTAGCCTTGACATATTCAGTGACATTTCCGTTTTCATAAAAAAGTTAAGACACTACACGGCAACCGTTTAGCGTGCGTACTTTCCGTGCATCTCTTCCACTGGTCAATTTTATGCTATCTTGTCTCTTGATCGGCCACGTTTGTTCGCTTGGTATTTACTTTTTTATTGTGTGTACCAAAGTGAAGACCACTGTGGTTGTTTTTGGACACATTAAATAAAGATTTATAATTATTATTATTATTAGCACCAATCGTTAACCTTAACGTTCCTTATCATATAAAGTGTGGTATTATTAATATTATTATTATTTATTAGTATTATTATTATCACTAATATTATAAACTTTCGAGCATGTACCATCCTTAAACTGAGTGCCCCTTTTCATGTTTGTGGAATTTGGCTTTTCCGAACACTACCATGCAAATGATTTCTTGCTACCTAATGCCTCTCGGAACTGTTGCTTTGATTTGGCTTCCCTGAAATAGTCATGGTAACAGGGTTTCCTTGTTTGACTTTATATTTCATGAAATATTTATCACTCCAAATCAGATGTTAACAACGTAGCTTAGTTGCAGGCTCTCTTGCTATGGCAGTATGTGAAAACCACCATTTTTAAAACAGTGGAACCTTTGTTGAATATTGCTACATCTACTGGCCGCCACTTTTGTGCCGAGTAGAAGTGGAGTAATTTATACATTTCGGTTGAGTAATTTCCAGATTTAGGAGGGAGATGGGGTACGTTAAATAATTCATGCAAGGTGCTTTTCATGTGCTTACATTGTAGTTAACCGAGATGGCTTACAACTTATATCTTTAAATAAATGTCACCACATTGTCAACGTCATCAAATAGACCAGATTGGCAGTCAACGTTTTGCTGAGAGCACTGTTGAAGAAGTGCTCTTGGGGGGCCCTGAAGAAGAGCACTTCTTCAGGACCCCCAAAAAAGCTCGCTTAGAAAAACTACTGACTGAAGCGTCTGTGAATACCAGGAGGTCCCGATATTAATAACGTTTTATTATTTAATGTTAGTGTATTAGCGTGATCTTCGGCACTTATTTAACTATAATGCAATTAAATGCAAAGGTGCAAGCGAGCTGGACAAGATTGACGGGTATCAAATGATACCCGCAGGTGACAGTGTTCTATCATTTATAACTTGGCGTTTTTCTTAAAAATAATCCTATGTGTGATATTGGGAGGAGGCTTGATACCTCGGGAGAGGAACGAGGCAGTGCACATGCGATGTTGTTTTTTTTAATGATAAGAACAGAATGTTCTTATCATTAAAAAAAAAACAAAAAAACATCGCATGTGCACTTACCAACTGGGGTATGGTAATATGCACTGACCTCTTAAGGTCTCGAAGGCTAATGTGCATCCTTCAGAGTCCTACTGGATTGACATACAACAAATATTAATCAAGTAGAAAGACAAGGCGAAAGAAGTCCTGTTTAATTGCAGAAATCAACATATTACAGTTAATCGAGAGGTTTCTTCCAGCGCAAAATGGCAAGGCCTAAAATTGTGACTATAATCAATGCCAAAATGTGGACGTCAGGGAGGTCTTTCAGTTGTCCCGCCCCCAGAGCGAGCTTCCTATATTTGTTAACAGTTTAGCGTCTCTTAAGTTTCGGGACCGCACGCGCAGTCAAAGCGCAGAGGATGGCAACGGTCCCCTGTTGGGGGCCGGTCATCCGAAAGTAACGCTCTGCCGTTCTCATCCTTTCAGTAACTATACATCGTTATAATATTCAGACATTCACAGCCCAGTGTGAAATCTTCACAGCCCAGCTTGCCTGTTTGTCGCTTCGGAAGGCCAGTAAAGCACGCGCGATACGTTGGAACGCTGAACGTGGTACCACCAAGAAGCCAGTTTTCAGAATATAGACCGTTCTACTAGGAAAAGCGGAGAGAGAAAAAATGCCCTCTCCCGCTCACCCCGCTTGTCGTTTGCTCCGCCGAGTTGGCTGAACCTAACATCCGACTGGTGCCTTAACTTGGCTTAAAATCGCATCATTTTGGAAATTTCAAGCACAGCGATGCGCGAATTTTGATATGCAAGTAATGATATAAGGCTATCCTCGATAAAAAGACTAACCGGCTCCGACTGCGCTGTTACCTGCGTGCAAATAAAGAAAAGAAACGAAAAAAAACTGTGTCCGAGTCGGTAGGTCTGTCCGGTGAAAAGTAAATCCGGTTGTTGTAGTTTTTTTTACTGTACAAAGTTCGTAATGGTGTAGGCCTTTAGCAGCAATGAGTGGAAGTCTGTAATCATAAATAAAAACGTCTTCTCCTGACGCAATAGACGCAGTGTTTGAGGGCAGTACTGCTGGCTGACTCCCTTATTGAAATAACGAAACAAAGATACGCTAGTTGATCATTTACTGAAATAATACAACAGGATGCAATAGGCTGATTTTGGAGTAGCCAAAAATATTCTAAGAACGCGAACCACTTCGCAACGGCAGCCACAAGCGAGAGTTTGATGCTCGGTATAGCCCGTCGGTATAACCCAAAGATGGAGAACGGTAACCTCCCGGTTTGTCATCTGCTAGCAAAATCGGGCGTGTGCCCTCACTCTCGTTTTACCCCACCGAACCTGTTGGACTTCCCGGATGGCTAGAGAGGGCACTGCGGTCGAGAAAAATTGCGCCGCCCTTAGAGCTCTAAATGGAATGGTCGCGGGGCATGAGCGCCCGGCTCATGCCCCGTGACCATTACCAGGCTCATGCCCCGCGCAGGAACACGAAAAGCCGAAAATACTCGCAACTTCAGCCCGTCGCTCGCCCTCTCGCGGATTACAAAGAACCAGAGGAGCGGGGACGGCGGCGGAGGCCGAGGCCGGGAATATTGGCCTTGTGTGTCGCCGTAGCCAGGTGGTTATGGTCGGCGTAATCGCGTTTCATGCAGCTTTAACCAAAATGAAAACGAGTGTGTTGATATTGAAATTGTTGCCTTGCGCTTCGAAATTTCCGAAATGGTTGTCCCTAGCCTCAATGTTGTTTTTTTTCTTCGCTATAATGCTCATTTTCTTAACGTACATCAACATCTTCGTCACCTGTGATATGCTCCTGCCCTGACGGTTTTATATTTATAGCCTAATACATTAATTTTTCCACACTCAAGAGCGTAAGCTAGCAGGGGCACGAGAAATCCTGGAGTGTCTATCCCCACCTATGGCGCCACTATAGGACTACCGCCTCGCCATCTATACAGCGTTAGAGTTGCGAATAAATGACTAACATAAAAACCTGACACTTAGTGTTCATCGCCATAGTAACCTTACATATCAACACTCTTTACGTCAGATGAAAAAGCATCATCGGCTTTCACGGCATTTACATTTCCAAGCTTGTCCTCGACACTTCTCAGCATGGATCGTTTCCTGACGAACATCAACATGACCAGAAACACAACAACCGCCATCACCACTGTCACGAAGCAGACGTACAGGAAGACCGGAGGATCGTGGTCCAAGAATGGCCCGACGAACAACGGTGGGGAAAGCGCTCCCAAACTGGACGCCACGATGACCAGTGCCATCATACCGTTGCTGATGTCCATGTAGTTTGCCGTCCAAGCGACAATGACACCGTAGATTGGTCCTTGCCCCAATCCCAGAAGCGCCGAACTCACCCAAAGTACCGTCTTGGACGAGTTGCCCCATAGGACAAAGACGGTCGCCGTACCGGCCAAGATGACGTGCGACCCTAGAAGCATCTGGAATGGCGTCACCTTGATGGCTAGCAGCGAAGAGCCCATCCGGCAGCCCGCGAAGGATAAGAAGTAAACAGCTGCTACTCGGGCCGCTGTTGACTTGGGCAGATGGAGGTCGCACTTGACCGCGTACGCTGTGATCATCTGCGCCACAGTGCACTCCTGCGCGACGTAGACGCAGAGGTACATGGACAACAAGGTCAAGAGGATCCTCTTGAAGCGGATGTCCTTCGCAGCTTCTTTCTGGTGCAACGCGTCTTTCAAAGAGCTCTGCTTTGGCGGCTTGGCATCGCTGCCGTCGATGCAGTATAGCACTATCATAGAAATTATGGGGAGGAGGTAGAAGCCACTGGCGATGCCGAAAGCGTATTGGATCGTCGATTCCATGCGACTCGAGCTCTGGGTGTCGTTAAGGATGGCGTGGTTGGCATGGCTTTGGAGGAAGGAGGTTTTGTTGAACGCGATGAGGGGTTCTGCAACAGCTTCGTAGTCCGTCGTCGGAAGCGTGGATAGAAAGGACGTTGCTATCAGGGGAGCCACCAGACAGCCGACGGCGAAGGCTAAGTGGAACGCCTGCAAGGCGGGGCTGCTGTTCTTGGTCCACATCCTGATGATCCAGACGTTGGCTCCTGCAAAACATGTCATGATATTTTTTTGCAAGAAACAATTTTAAATGATACAACTGTTGAAGAAAATGCCGTGAGAACATTAAAATATGGCAAAAGATACGTGCTGAAACATTTTGATTTTTTCATTCGGCGCTTGCGTATCACTGCTGATGTCACCTGCGGCGCGGAGACGTTGGTTGCGGAGCCGGTGCAAGAGAGCGGAATGGACGTCATTGGTGTTCTTTGCACGATTTGTTTCGGTTTGTAAGACCAGCTAGGAATCTTTTCACCCCTAATTCTCGTCATGGCTAGGCCATAAGGGAATCGAGCGAAAATATTCTGCCTACACTACGCCCCCAATGCAGAAATTGTGAAAATTAATTAATTAGTTTAGTAAATACTAGTTAATTGATTAACCAGCCTTATTCTTTCAAGTGCCTCCCCCTTCCATGGTCACCAACCCTAGGGCTAAATGAATCTTACCCCGAGGTCCCTTTTCAAAATATTCAGGATCCTCAAAAGAAAGTCCTCTATATACGAAAATATCAAGGAAATGCGACTTCACGAACATACTTCTTGTATTGCGCACGCGAAAACAATTTTTAGCTTGTCCCCAAGGGCGAAGCGAAGCGAAGACGAAAAAAATGAGATGTTTTCAAATCTCTGTAACGCGAAATTAGAGCACATCTCTTGAGGAGGAGGAAGGGAGGGTACGGAGGGGAGAGTATGCCCCTCCTCCTCCTTATCCTCCTCCTACTCCTTTCCTTCTCTCCCCTCTCCCCCCTCCTTCCATTCCCCTCCTGTCCCCGTCTCACCTACTTCTCCTCCCTCTTCTTCCTCCTCCTTTCCTCCTGCTCCTCCGCACCTTCCCCTTCTCCTCCTTTGTACCTACTCCTCCTCCTCCTCCTCCTCTATACCCTCCCCTCCTTTCACAGTTTCCCACCTAAATTCAGCTGAAAAATTGACGCCGTCACCTCAAGAGCAATTCAATTCCACGCTGTAGAGGTCACTGCTGTTCAATTGCTGTTGAGGTCACGTGATGTCAATTTTCCCGCTAAATCTAGCGGAAAAACTGAATGTGTTCATAGGATACGTGACACCAAGTCATGTGACGTCATTTTCCCTGCTAAATTTAGCGAAGACACTGAAGTATTGCTAAGGTCACGTGACATTATACATGATGGGGAAAACAGCTCAGAAAACACGGACTAAGAAGAGGAACACACACGACAGGACAATGCTGTAACACATTGTCCTGTCGTGTGTGTTCCTCTTCGTAGTCCGTGTTACAGCATTGTCCTGTCGTGTGTGTTCCTCTTCGTAGTCAGTGTTTTCTGAGCTGTTTTCCCCATCATGTATAACGTCAACCAACTGGCCCAGTTCTCTACCTTGTCACGTGACATCATTTTTACGCAAAATCTAGCAGAGAAACTGAATTTTTGTATAAGGGTTGTGACACCAAAGTTGTACGATGTCATTTTCCCCGCTAAATTTAGCTGCGAAACTGAATTGGTGTTGAGGTCACGCTACATCAGTTTTCCTGCTAAATTTAGCGCAATTACGCCGAAACCGACGGCGACGCCGACGCCGCGAAACTCGGAAACGGGCGCTTTACAGCTGCGGTCTAAAAGAAAAGCTATGTACAGTTATGTCTCGTAAATTTGTATACCGTTAATATGGACACCCGGCATTATGGACGGACTTTTTTGGGGACCGATCTTTAGCCATGCGATTCTTCCCCGCTAATATGAAAACCCGCAATCCGGACTATGAATAACTATTTTGGGAACGAATTGGGTAAATACAGGCATTTTTGTCTCGTTATTATGGACTTCAGTACATATAAGAGGTATGCACTAGCGAACATAGCTGAGAGCATGGCTGCTCATCGCGTGTTGATGGCGATCTTCCTCAAAAATGGTTGATATGTTACCACTCAGGCAAAAGCGCTTGTGTGTAAGATGAACGCACTCTAGCTAGACATGTCTCGCGAGTCTCCCATGGCTGTAATGCCTACATATCATTACAACGCACATGTTGCAGACACATCACACACGAAAACAAGAAGGACCCACAAGAATCACGTTTCTGAAGATGCTCTTGGCAATAGTTATTCGACGCTGTCTCTAAAGAACTTCTTCTAATGCGGTTACAGTATGTTACATATTTATTGTACAGCGCCCTCATTGTGCCTTGCCTTTGTTTTACTCACTTTCAACACCTGAGGGATTGCTTAAAGCAACTCCTCAGGTGCAACCCTTCAAAACCTCTTAAAGCAACCACTCAGGAAGAATGCTTACACCTCAAGGGGTTTGACATTCTTCATTTGAAATTGCATTTTTGGGGGAAGAACTCCGCTACATGATGTTTTTGCTGCTCCATCATTGGGGAGTTTTAGTAGATCGTTCGATAACAGTACGATGTATGCGCATAGGCGGCCACGGAGTATCGGGTATCGATATCGCAGTTATCGGAACGATCTGCTTAAATTCTCTATTAGCGCGTGCACCTGCTAGTACCGTCGATTGCCCGCGTATACGCTTGTTGCGAATGCATGCGTATAAAACAGAGGAAACCAAAATGCGTGGCAACAGCGCAACTCCCGACGTCGTCCTCTTTTAGAAAAAAGACAGAGCGGCAGCATTGTAGTCATCTAGTGCGTTCTGTGGCTAGCTATACACGCCAGGGATTCGGTTGGGAGTCTTTAAACGAATAGCAACATAATTCCACGACTTGTATAGTATTCAGGTCGCTGACAGAATGAGATGGACAGGACAGAGTTTTTCGAAAGTTCGGCCTTGAGCACGTGATCGTTGCCTTCCGCCATATTTTTGCAGCGCGTGCCCGCTCGAAGTTCACGAGATGCCGATGGCATCTCGCGACGCTATGCGGAGAACAAGTCGTGTGCTTCTTGAGCAGGAGTGGTGGTGACGTCAGAACGACACCGGGCTCTTATTGGCTAATTGAAAAAAGAACAACAATAGTGGGTAGACCTTAATGCTAGATGCCTTGAGGTCTAACCACTATTTTTTTTCAATCAGCCAATAGGTGACCGGCGTTTGAGCCGGAAGTTTCGTCATCCGAAGCGAGGCACCACGTGACTTCACGCTTCCGGTTCGTCTGGTACCGGTCGCGGTTCGTCCACCTGCATCAAGAGCCCTTCTAGGTGTGGTGGCCGTGCTGTATTCGCGGTGAAAATGGCTTACAGCTCCGCGGTACGTTGTTCTAACGCAAGCCATAGAGGGCGTAAGATGTTCCAGTTCCCGTGTAACAAAGCATGGAAGCAACGATGGGCCGTCGCTGTTAAGCGAGTGAAAGAGCGAGATGACCTGTGACAGACAAACGCCGGTGACCGTTTAAGCGCGGCCACTATTGTTACAGGCCAGTACAACGTGTTCTCTCTTTCTTCGGGTAGGGCCAGTGGGAAATAACTATCTCTAACAGTCTTTTGGCACCCACCAAAAGCGTCTCAATTATTCCACGAAGGGGTGACCACTGCTTGTCGTACAAGGCATCTGCGAGAACGCGGGATGCGATCTCGCAGGCAATCAGTTTATGGAACAACGTTTCATCAACATGCAGTGCCATTGCCAGGCCGTTTAATCGTTACATCGACAGTTCAGATTAACATTTTCTGTGATGAGCCGCCGCAGACTGTTCCCGGGAAGCAGCGTGGATGGCTGGCTTGCTATAATATAAATAAACAAAAGGACAGGTCAGCTTTTTGTAATATAAAGAAACACTTTAATGTTAGTGCTCATAACATTGCTTTACAGTTATGTTCTGAATGTTGTTATTACGTTTTGTACACAACAATATCGTTGTATTTTAATTTCAACATTACACTAACATTGAGAACATACCTAAAACGTTGTGTGTTTTATTTGAACGTTGCTGTAACATTTACACCTAACGCAAAACGTTCTTTCAACTTACACAACAATAAAATAGTGTTATTATAATATTTTGTGCTACCTGGGATCATCGGGTGGCACGTTTCTATACGCCTCGCAAGTGGGCTCATTTTCGTCTTCTGCGCATGAGAAAGGAAGTGGCGGTGACGTCAGAACGCCGAGCCCTGATTGGCTGATCGCGACCCCCTATTTGAGCGTCGTCTGCTCCTTTGCAACGTCGTCTGCTCGCAACGTCGTCTGCGTCTGTCTTACCTTTCCTGCGACTTTCCGAAGTCGAGCGAGCTCGACTTCGCCTTTCAGAGAGGGCAGACGAAATAACTCGAGCGGTACGTTGTTTTCGTCTTACAACTAGCAGACGCGCATCAAGGAGAGAAGTCAAAGGACTCACTAGCGAGGTGTCCCGAGGCGCCGAGGTTTGTTTGCTAAGAACCGAGAGTGAGCGTGTTAGTGTCCGCAAGTTCCCTTCCAAATACTTTTTCCCCTCCTTTTGTGTGCGGCGAGACTCCTCAGTCTTTAACGGCGTCGGCGGGTTGGCGCAGTTAACGTCGTCTCCTAGTCAAAACGATGGTTACTTTACCTTTCCTGCGTCTGTTGGAGATTCACTGCTTTTTCACCGGCGAGAGTCACCGTTGCCTCGGAAAACAAGGAGATGACAAGAGGAAGAGATTGACCTCTTAAGCTAAAATTGAGGTCAGCGATCAAAGTATAAGACGGGAAGGGTTCACAAGGGTCGCGCGGGCATATTCCATTCAGCACGCCAGCCGGTCGTGGTCAGACGGTCGCCAAGTCGGAGTGCCTGATAGGCCTGTCTGCCGAGTTCGCTTGGTCGTTGTCGGTGGAATCGTGGCCGTTGGAGCTTTTCCCGGGTGTTTGTGGAGCTACCGTTCTTGTTCGTCGTGGTCTGCTTCAAGTACTTTTTACTTTTTTCTTGCTGCTTGAAGTCGGGACGCGTGAGAAGCGCACTTAGAAAAATAAACGTCTGTTGGTCGTCGCGACCGCGACGCTGTCGGCCATGCTGATTTGATCGTAAGAAGTGCGTAAGACAGCTTCGGAGCTGTCGAAGGATTTCGTCGTAACCTGCGCAAAACTTACGAAAATTTCGTTTCGTGAATACGAATTCGTT